CCAGAGCGAATGAAAACAGACTGGTGTGATACTTCGCAGGAGTAGGTGCGAGGGGACCCAGGTAGGCTCTGAAAACCAACCTAAGAACTTTATTTATTCATTTTATTTATTTTTATTATTATTATTTTTTGCGGTACGCGGGCCTCTCACTGTCGTGGCCTCTCCCGTTGCGGAGCACAGGCTCCGGACGCGCAGGCTCAGCGGCCATGCCTCACGGGCCCAGCCGCTCCGCGGCATGTGGGATCTTCCCAGACCGGGGCATGAACCTGTGTGTCCCCTGCATCGGCAGGCGGACTCTCAACCACTGCGCCACCAGGGAAACCCAACCTAAGAACTTTATTAAAAAATTTTTTTATTATCAAACATTTATTTTTTATTTTACTTTTTTATTTTTTGGCTGTGCTGCGTGGCACACGGGATCTTAGTTCCCTGACCAGGGATTGAACCCATGGCCCCTGCAGTGGAAGCGCAGTGTCTTAACCATTGGACCAGCAGGGAAATCCCTCAAATATTTTAAAAGTACAGAAAAGTTGAAAGACTAGCCCAGGAATTGGCAACCTATGGCCTCCGGCCAAATTTGGCCCCCCTCTTTTTATAAATTAAGTTCTGCTGGAATATAACCATGCCCATTTATTTAAGTATTGTCTATGGTTGTTTCTGTGCTATAACGGCAGACCTACAGAGTTGAGTAGCTGCCGCAGAGACTGTATGGATTGCAAAGCCTAAAATATTTACACTTTGGCCTTTACAGGAAGTCTGTGACTTCTGGACGTAGCATAATTAATGAACGCGTATCTTCTACCTAGATTCAACAACCATTAATATTTTGCTATTTTTGTTCTGTCTACTTGTATGTGTGTGTTTTCTGAATCATTTGAAAGTAAGCTGTTTAAGCTGGTATATTAGCTCTCCAGAGGAGGAAAAAGCCCTATTTGTAGCACTTGCAGATTTTTGTGGTATAAATACTCCCATCATGGCTGATATCAATCTACCAAGGGTTGTAGAATCACAAAATTCTTGAATATTTAACAACTGGCTCTCAGCTGGTAGGAGGAGGCTTGGACATACCACAGGCTGCAGGATGCTTTAGCCTTGTTTTGAGAAGCATCTCCAAAGATAAGAACATTCTCCTACATGGCCAGAATACTATTATCACAGCTCGGAAAGTTAACAGTAATCCTCTCCTATTATCAATATCTAGTCCATCTGCAAATATCCCCAATTGGCTCCAAAATGTCTGTTTTAGCCTTTTTTCCCCCAAAACCAAAATGAATCCTGGTTTACGCACTGCATTCATCTGTTATGACACTTTAAACGTCTTCTTCCCACTATGATACTGCCATTTTGAAAGGACCAAGCTATGTTGTACAATGTTCTACATTCTGTTTTTCTCTGATTCCTACGCCTAGTTTGTTAGTCTGTAAACTTTATTCAGTCAGGCTCAACTGAATATTTGATGGCGACTTATATGGTATTTAACCCTACAATGAAGGGTAATTCAGACTAGGAGAAAATAGCACCCAGGAGGACATCACTAAAAGTTACTCAAGCCCTAAAAGAGTTAATTTCTTTTCCCCAATGACTACTGTACTTCCAGTTAATACTCCAATCTGCTCTCCACAGGGTTGGCTCCCAGGACTTTGCATACCAAGGACCCGATAGCTTCCACGTGTAAAATGCCCATTTCAGAACTCATCAGTAATCTAATCCTTCATGGAAGGAATTATTCCTCACAGGCATCTGTATACACTTCCACCAACTAAACATAAACTACTGGCTCAAAGGAAATCCTTTAGATATAATTAATAGTGCATAAATGAGACTCGTTTTTACTATAAATTAGAATAGGCCATGAGTTTATCCAGAAAAATACAATCTTGTCCTTTGTAAATAAATGCGACAAAAGACACATTAAGCTGGAGTTCCTAAACTTGGCTGATCATAAGATTCATCTGGGGAGCTTTCAAATGCAGCTGCCTAGACCTCATTCCTGGAGATGGATTCAGTAAGGCCTAAAAAAGAAAAAATGCTTCTTTTTTTAATGTTTTTTAAAAAAATGCTAATCACTGGTCATTCCAATGATTAGCCAGATTTGGGGGTACCTCACTCGCTGGGGCATGTATTTTGAGAGATTGTATTTTAAAACTGTCATGTTGGGTTTATATCGTTTTTCGTTTTTTGTTTTTTTTTTCCTTTTTTGGTGCGTGGGCCTCTCACTGTTGTGGCCTCTCCCGTTGCGGAGCACAGGCTTCGGACGCGCAGGCTCAGCGGCCATGGCTCACGGGCCTAGCCACTCCACGGCATGTGGGATCTTCGCGGACCGGGTCACGAACC